AACTTCACATTTGTTACAATGGAGACCAATCCCCATAATCACTTAAGGACTCCTACTCACATTCTTCTCATTTAAGGACATGCCTAAATTTTAGGACGTTACATTGTATGTATAAAAAAGTGCATATCAGTCCCAATTAGTAAAAAAAAAAAAAAAATTAAAATGCCAACCTTAAACAATGTTGTTTCATTTAATTAAAACTCAATTCAAAATTTAGAAATTCATCTTATTAAATGTTGATATATGTATTTGGAAACTGATTATAATAAGAAATCAACATTTAATTTTGAATTAGGTTTTCGATTTCTAAATGCAAGTATTAACATCTAATGAGGTAAATCCATTTTTGAATTTTAAATTGAATTTTAATTAAATGAAATGATATCATTTAAGATTGGGGCTTTAACGTTTTTCGAAGTCAAGATTGATATGAACTATCCTCATATATATAGGGTTTGTGCTTATCTACCTTATTTCTTAGAAATTAGGATGAAAATTACTCCTAAGTTACATCATTTTAATTAAGTATCCCAAAAAAAGACCAAAAACAATATAATTCATACTACTAAAATAAGGTATGTTAGTTTTTTTAATAGAAGTTTATTGAAATGACACAGTTTTAGGATAATTTTCTTTTAGAATCTCTAGGAAATACGAACGATGGCCACTTTTCCACACACACACACACACGAGTTAGGACATATTTACACATAAGATTTACACACTATATTTACACAAAAATCTTGACCATTCATCTCTAAACTTTCAATGGTTAAGATTTATTACGACTTTTCAAATAAAAAAGATAATTATCTTTAATAAATATGATAAAAAGTAAATAAATCTTAATTATTGAAAGTGAAAAGATAAATAATCAATATTTTGCATAAGCGCGGTGTGTAAAATTTGTGTGTAAGTGGATTTTAACTCATATATTTAAGTGCATATCAGTCTTGACTCTCAAAAAAATTGGAGTCTCAACATTAAATGATGTCATTTCATTTAATTAAAATCTAATTCAAAATTTAGAAACTACAGTATTAAATGTTAATATTTGGATTTGGAAACTAATTATATATTTTAATATAATTAGTTTCCAAATCTATATATCAATATTTAATAAGGTGGATTTCTAAATTTTGAATTGGGTTTTTGGTTTCCAAATATAAGAGTCAACATCTTATAATGTAGATTTCTGAATTTTGAATTGAATTTTAATTAAATAAAACATGTTGTTTAAGATTGGAACTCTAATTTTTTTGGAAGACTGATACACATTATATATATATATATATAT